GCGATGATGAACCCAGACATTCTTGAAGAACGCATTGGCGTTGACCATGCAATCAAGATGGCTCACGTCAAGCTACACAACGTCAAGGGCAAAGTCTCCGTCTATCCGGTGATAGAGGAGTACTACGAGTCTGCCGACGAAGACTCTGAGGCAGATGAACCAGANGGTGGCGAGTCAGATGCTGAGCAAGGCGACGCAGAATCCCGCACCACCAAAGGCAAGGGCGAGGCCAAGGTGAAGTACAAGTTCGGCAAAGCTGAGCCTTCTGAGTTCCGCAACAACTACACGCACGCAATGGCTGCATACTTCGTGCCTGCGTCAGTCAAGGGCTTGATCACCGCTAAAGAAATCGCGTCAATGGACATGAACATCGCGCCTCTTGTTGTGACCGCTGAGGAGCGTGAAGAGTATACCGAAGACCAGCCTTTCACCACACCCACTGGCAAGCTGTTGGAATTCAAACCCGACTTAAAACCTATGGTTTCGACACTGCCGAAGTCAAAGCGCAGCCGTCAACGCATGAAGAAGCGCGAGGCTAGGCAGGATGCCGTCGTGCACGATCTACTGAAGCTAGAGCACCCTCACCTCAAGACCCTGGCTGATGACCTCCAACAAGCGGAGCAGGAGGCGAAAGGTAGAGGCATCCCGGTGTGGGAGCAAGTCTTGGACACCCCCAAGCTCGTTGGTGGCCGGCCGCGCTCCAAGTCTGTCCCAACCTACCGTGACAAGACTACGCATGAGCTTGACCGCGATGCAGTCACTGCCAACCTCCGCAAGATCGCCGACGAGCACGTCGCGCTCTCGAGACTGCGGCTCGGAGCAAACATGCGTCCCACGGGCGACCAGATCATGGCTCAGCTGCACCACTTCATATCCAAGCGCCCACACTGCCGCGACGAGGACGGTCACTTGCAGGCAAACAAAATTCATCTGTTCCTCGAATGGATGCGTTACACGCACCATTGGATGACCACAGTCAAGGCGATCGAACAAGTCATGTACCGCGAGTTCTTCGGAGTGACTACAGGTATCCTCCCAGTCGAGGCCGCACATTGCCAGATGGAGGCGGCAGACATAGCCCACTGGCAATCTCTCACCGCTCTCCCAACCAAAGGTCGAGAGCAGAAGAAGAAGAAAGGAGACATGACCCCTGCTGAGGTGATGGCCGACCGCCTCGCGCGACTCGAGGCTAAAGCCAACGCGAGGAACCGCGTCGCACCCCTAGAGCGAAACGTCTGCAAGATCTCTGAGGAGCCAGAGGAGTTCGAGCAGAATCAAGATAACCACGTACTCCTCCAGATGGTCGAACAAGCTGAGAACCGATCATTCGCTCGACTAAGGCACACCATCAACTACCTCGACGCCACCGTGCCCAATGAACAGCCCAGTCATAAGGCATACGTTGACCTCACACACGCAAACACCTGCGGCCCTCTCTCACAAGGTCAGCGAGACATCGAATACGTACCCACCCATCGCGTTGTCGACGTCACGGATCCGAAATGGTACCCGTCGCTGGCAAAGATTTTCCGCCAAACAGAATCTGTCGAGGACTACTGGAAAGGCATGCATGCCGGACTGGTGATGTCAGACTACAAGTTGTTCCTTATCACCATCAAGCATAATGAGAAACACTGCACCAGCAACTTGTTTGCACACCGACAAGACGTCCCAGACCTGGTGAAAGACCTGCGCATCGTCACACGCTCATCGCCAATCATCTTCATGCTCGTTCGATCACACAACATCGACGAGCTCATGGAAGGACTCATCAAGCGTTTCCATGACCTCACTCGCAACGACCCAGCCCTTGAGTTCTACAAGTCGATCGACAACCCATCACTGTCCAACACTGGCGTGAGGGAAACGTCGCAACTTCCAAAATTCACCGCACTACCCCAGATGCACTTCAGCACATGGGAAGAACTCCAACATGAAGCTGGTATCGGCGCACTCATCGAACAACGCTTCCAGATGGGGAACCAAGAGTACAACGCGAAGGCCGCCGTGGTCCCAGTGCCAGGATCTTACCACCGCGACGCAAACCTCTACATGGCATACCTCCTGCAAGTGTCAGTGCGACACGACGCAAACAAGCCCCGTCTCATGCCAGGAGACCACGTCACCGTCGACATGAACCCCGACGCGGATACGCAGGCCATCAACGAAGACGTCTGGCGCGGCAGAGTCACAGAACCGACCAAGGCCACTGCCATGGGCATGATCAACGTCATCGTCGAACGACCATCGAAGAATGGCATCATCACAGACAAGATGGAATACAGCGATCTCCCGATGACGCGCATGAAACAGATGAACGCCGAAGACCTCCTGACATGGACGCAGAGGAACTGCAAGATGAACATCGTCATGTACACCAAGAACGATGACAAGGAATGCAAGCGACTGATGGGGAACCTTGCGAGGATGACGCTCTCTGAAGACCAACGGGTGAACTACGCAGAAAAGGCCCGCCGCCTCGACGCAGCACGACTGATGCTGACCTGCACCGACCACGCAAAGGCTAAAGCCACAGCCCTGTACAACGATATCGAAGCCCAGCATCGACAAGTCGCCATCAACTTCGTCACCGCGATGCTCCGCCCACACCAGCGAAAGGAATACACGCGTTGGGTTGAGAATGGCGTGTACAACCGTACCATCTGGCTCACTGGACCATCGGGTTCGGGAAAAACATATCTCGCCATGGCCACTATGCTACCATACCTCGGCAAGGTGGAAGTGCCAGAGGAACTCATCAACATCTCAAGTCATGAACAAGAGTTGCACTTCCAAAAACAAACCGTCACTAAAGCAAAGAAGAAGGCAAAGAAGGAGAAGGAGGACGCCACAAAGCAGTCCGCCGACGCGACGCAGCCTGCCGCTGACAAGAAACAACCCGCCGCTGATGCAGCGTCGGCTGGGAAGGACAAGACTGAAAAGAAGCAGCAAGACCCGAAAATTCAAGAGGCTATTGATCGTTACAAGGAGGCGAGGGACAACATGGCACCTCCCAAAGCGTCACGCAAAACAGTCACGGAGCGAGGTCGAATCACGATTGCAGCCATGCAAAACAAAGCTATCGACTCACAATATGTACTCATGTCAGCTATGGCAAAAACATACTGCCAAAAGATGGGCCAGCCAACCCCTCTGGTATTGCGTCTACACAGCAAGGAAGCCGAACTCAAAGCGGTCGCAGCGATGGCTCACCCAAACTACAACCCAGGCGTGGACGTCTCCCGCGCAGCCATCGACCCGTCAGTCAAAATCACCGACGACTTGCTGAACAGCTTGCTGTCCGACTACCTCTCAGCCTTCCGCGGAGAACATGCAGGTATCGCGGACCGACGTTTCAAGCATATCGAAGGGTCAGCCGCTCGGTACATCCTAGAGCTCGCGCAGTTCCCTACCTTCGACGCCTCACAAGAACTGCTTGACGCCTTCTCAGACCAAGAGCTTGAGGCGTGGGCAAAGGAATTGAAGCCCCTCCTCGACGCTTACTCAGAACTGAGCAATAATAACGGCAAGTCAAATAAGGAGATCAAGAACAAGATCGCCACAGCAGCCAAGACCGGCCTGAATGTCCTCCTTGAATGCGCCGACGTGATCTGCACGACAGTATCCGTCGCAACGCAGGCGTCGTTCAACATGACCCGACGCGCACACGTCATCGCGTTGGAAGAAGCTGGACGTGCCAACGACGCTGAGACTGTTGGCCTTTTCTCTCACTACTGGCACGCAAGCCTACGCCTGATCAGCGGTGCAGTGAACCAACTCCGTCCTGCCGCCTTCGGAGACGAGAAGCAGAACCCGTTCTCTAAGCTCCTCACCGTCTCCACTATCGCGCGTATCCAAGCTACAGGTGGTGCCGTCAGCCAGTTGGAAGCATCATCCCGTTTCCATAATGAAGCCTTGTTCCGACTTTGCGCACACGTTAACGCTATGCCAAACATGACACTGGTACAGAACGCGTTCAACACGGAACTGTCCGAGAAGTACGCCGAGATCAACAAGAAGATCTGGGGCATCAAGACGGACCTGATCTTCCTTAACACCAAGGGCATAGCGACGCAGCGAGACGCCAACCGCTCTACGTACTGCAGGGAGACTGCCACGGTCGCCATCCAAGACGCAATTAACCGCATGGCATACATGGACGGCAAAGACCATGTCATTATCACACCATACAATGCACAGGTGATGATGCTGCGACGCCAGCGAGACCACGCGGTGATGATGGCCCACACGACCCGCAAGAACGAGCTGGCAAATGAACTGCTAGACATCGAGATTGTCACAATCGACTCATTCATGGGCAAGGACCGCGCATCCGTGACGGTCGACACCGTCGGAGCCGTCGGACATCTGTTTGAGTTCGGAAGGACCGTCGTCGCCACCACACGAGCTCGCACCTCATGCCAGTTGGTGGGACCAACCACGGAGTACACCGCCCCTAACTCCAACGTCAAGCAGTCACACCCTTTGACACAAGCTATCCGCCACATGAACAAGCAGAAGTGGGTCAGACTCCTAGAACTCACGGAGATCCGAGGCATGGAACCATACCAGACCGCCATGAAGGCCGCGGGTCTGGGCGAAGAAGGCGAAGCGCAAGCGTACGCCAAGGCATCCACAATTGCCGACGTCCTCTACAAGGAAGCAGACCATGACGCAGTTGACCTCGACATCGTCGCGCGCATGAGAGAGATCAAACCTGACCTGAAAGTCTTTACGGAGTCAAGCATTGTCACGCAGGAGACCAAACAAGCCAATGCTACATGGGGCAATGGACAAGCTGACACCTGGGGCAATGAACAATCCGACGCTACCTCACAGGGTGACGAGCAGGACAACGACAACGCCACTGCATGGGACAACCAGCAGGCCGGCACCGAGTTTGCTGACGAAACCGCACCGTCCCCAAAGATCGCACCGTCTCCCGAGACCTTCTTTCCCCTCGACGACCAGTCAGACCGCGTCTTTCCCCGCAATGTGAATGAGTCCCCACTCCCGTGGCCCGACTCGGTCGGATTCCCTGAGACGCCAAACAATGAGTGGCCCGGGAACGAAGAACTCGATGCCAAAGCGTTCACGAAGGCCCTCGACGACGACGACGAAGACATGCCAGAGGACGCGGACATGTATACCGAGTGGCCGCGCGATACCCCATACCAGACATGCAAGCGCGAGGGACTCCTCACTATGCGAATCGTGGAAGCTCTCGACGCATACAGCAGCGGCACAGAACAGCCCGCCGAAGTCTCCAGCGAAGCATGGGAGGCACTTGACGACCAGGAACGCTTTGCTCTTAACCGTCTGGCACAGTGTGGCAATGTTGGCACGCTGGTCGCCGCCGAAGTCCTGAAAGCCCGAGGCAACTACCTGGCCGCCCTCGAGCACCTGCTGGTGATGTGCGCCGCGCGTGCCGACCCTGGCGAAGGTGAAGGGCTTACATGGGAGGAATACCGTACGCAGACTGAGATGCAGTACAATAAACTGCGCGATGAGTACGAGAATACCTTTACCTATACGCGAAACCCGTATGGCACGTGTGGCACTGCCGGCGACCTAGACACCGCTTACCAAATGATCGGCGAGGACTCTTGCGAGAACAACGACACCGTCGTCGCCGCCGCTAACCAGTCAAAGCCTGGCAAAGACTTCTACGAACAAGATGGCAGCGAGCCAGAGGAGGAGAANGAGGAATCAGACGACGGGCCATGCTACGACTATGACGCATGAGACATGAGGTATGAAAGGCAGAAGCGACGGATTATGGAGTTATGGAGGTTTTTGTATGATAATGGGAGCATCTCGCGGACGAGATTTTTTTCTTTTCTTTTTTTTTTTTTTTTCGCTGGAGAGGGCAGATGTTATGGCGCTGCCGTTGCCAGAGCTCACTTACCCCGTTTGGGTATAGCGCCTTGGCTGGGATTCTGTACTTAGCCTCACCTCCCACAGTTCCGAGATGAACAACTTGTACTATATACTGTTTTGATACCTGTCCCTTTTGGCGGCCGTCCCGGCCCGTGACAGATACTGAGTCTCTTCTGCGTACGCGTCGCTACTATTGTTGCAGGCGTCCAAATCAAAACCTTGTATAATTGTCTGGCCAACAAGATTGAGTGAATGAGGAGCACAGCGGAGACGACGGTGTAAGGCGTTGAATTCAAACTCGCGGGAGAGGCAGTGGATAGCTCGATCGTTAGCGAAAGCGTTGTCGAGTATAAAGCAGCCAAGCTGGGCACCGCTTATATTAAAAGTCCGGAGAGTCGTAGCTACGACTTCTCCAATCCGATCACCAGTATGGGCGCCCGCGAGCTGTGGGAGGGCAATCGGNAGATCCCTGATCGTGCCAGAGGCGTCAGCAAAATGAGCTACAACTCCAAAGAAGCCTCGCTTGCCACCTCTAG